TCTTTCCCTCTTCATTCCCGGCGGCCTCTGCGCGTATACTGTTTGTGTTATCGTTTCGCGGTCGAAGCAACGACAAGGACAGCGACGGGGATCAAGCGAAGGAAGTGAAACGACGAAAAGAACATCGACTCCGCTTTTGTTTCGCGTGCATCCGTGCTTTCGGGGGTGCGAGCGGTGCGCCAGCGACGAGAAAGGCCGATAGCTGAGAGCGAGACGGAGAACGAGCGCGGAATAACCAGGCGGCGGAACAGAGATAGAGACACCGTTGTCGCTCCACGAGGAGAAGAAAGACAGTCGCGTCGGGACTGAATATGTCCGCCAAGCGAAAGGCCACTGCCATCATGCAGCATCACAAGGTGAGTAGACCGATTGCCACCATATCGCCACGTGATTCGACTTTTTCCACGGCCAGACCCCGTAAATCAGTCGTCGATGCGCCGATCGTGGCAAAAACTCGTTGCTCGAGTCAAAGTTTAACTCGTGGGCTAACGGCTCGGGGTTCAAGGTTGTCATTTTCTTTCCTTACAGTCAGCGCGCTCCGTCGTCGAGCTCGTAATCGTGCGCGCTATGAGAGTGCGCTGCGTTCGCCGTGTGTCGCGATTCGATAAACAGGGGAATATCATAGAAACTAGACGAACCGGGGAATGTTCGGTAACCGTCACGGGCGACGGAGTGGGGGGCAGAGAGGGACCCGGCGTTGCCCGAGGCACGGAAAATTGGAGTTTTCTGCCGCCAGGTCGCGTTCGTTCCTCGTGCAACTCATTATTCCGTTGCACTCTAATTTTTTCCCTCTCCATGTTTTTTGGAGTGGCGAACGAGGCAGTCGGCGCGCTGGTGGGGGGAAGATGAACCGCGCGCGAAAGTTTTAATTGAAAGAGTTACACGAATTTCGTCGGAGGGGACGCGCGTGCGGAAAAGTTGCGAGGGTAACACTTAACGCGTATTGACTCATTAACCGTTGCCCCGCGTCGTTATTTCCGATTTTTGTTTTTCCAACTACTGCAACCCGGTACGCGTCAGCGTACGAGTACCTGCTCCAATTTTTTTCCTATTTCTTTTTTCCTTTTTTCTTTCTCTCTCTCTCTCTTTTTAGTGGAATATTGGTACTTTCGCATCGACGGGAAATTTGGTGGCAATGGAACACGAATCGCGAGGTTTAATCTCGTCGTACGTTACGTTGAATATTATGTAGATTTCCTTAAGCTCGTTTGAGGTTAAAGGTACTCCGTATTCGTACCGTTGGCAAATGTACCCAGTACTTTTGCGATTTTCATATCGGAAGTGTACATACGTGATATCGCGGTAAGAAAGCGTTGATATTGCAAGGAAAATGGGTGACTGTGATAAATAAACTGTTTACTCTCGCACAAAGGCAGATACGAAAAATGGAAAACTTCGTTTCGGAGTCACGCATTTTCGCCGAGAAATTTATGCGAATTTGGCAAATTTTCTAACACCTTGTAATACTTAGGAAAAATTTAAGGTGATTTGTACTGGACCTTTAGAGTGAGACAGAAAATTTGAATTCTTTGGTTTATTGTCTTTCTCTTGTAGAAAATATAATTCAATTTTGGAATTGGGTAAAAACTATCGTTTGTTGCAACTTGAACGCGTTACCAATAATTTCGCATGATTCGCATCGTACATTAACACGATTTTAATAACTTTGGGTGTAATTAATCCTTTGTTCTCTAATTGTATTTATATTTCACTTGGCAATACCAAGTTTCATATACGTAGCTGTACAACGTTACGGTGAACAACTACACGAGAGAATTTTGAGAATTTTGCACGTGGGATACACTAACACTTATTTTTACAATTTTCAATAACCTCGAATCTCATAATAAGAATATGAATAAGAATAAGAATAATAATAACAAAATGTAGTCAAACGCTAACTTATATCTACCTGACTAAAATTTTCCTCTCTTACAATTGTAATTAAAATCCTTTTCGGTGGTTCTCGATACGAAATTACCAAAAATGTTCCATTTTGCCATTTAAAGTCTCGCGGTTATCATAGAATGAAAATAAAATTTTCATATCAAAGAGAAAAGGAAAAATTCAAAATAGGAGAAAGGCACGAAAATGTAAGAGCAATTATTTATTTAATATTCTATTTTAAAAGTGCAAATTGTAGAAGAGATGAAAGGAAGCACACTCTGATAAAATAATTATTTATTTAAAATCCTAAGCTGTAAAAATGCAACTATGATTTATAAGAATAATTATTTATCAGAAATTCTAAAATTCTGGAATATATTCAATATTATATATTATATATTATTTTTGCTTATATAATATACAATATATATGTAATATTCAGTAATATACATTATATACTTAATATTACATGCTAGAATATATTCAGTACATTCAAGAATAATTCGTATGTTTTTCAAAAATTCAAAAATCGTAGAGTACATTCGATTTTATGTGCCACGTATTACGGAATATATGTATTATATGTTATTCTAGTATATTATATATAGGAGAATATATTCAATATATATTCAAGATTAATTCGTTTGTTTTTGCTCGAAAAATCCGCGAAAAATTTGCCTTTCCGTGCAAAACGAATCGCGTTAAAAATACACGAATGTCCGGGCAAAAGCGTGGTGCTCGCATTAGTTTTCCTCGATGCGCCATAGGTCGGGAAAACGTCGCAGAATTTTCGCCTGACGATACCGCGAATCGCAGAAATCGACGACACTCGATGACGAACTTGCCCGATCGTACTTATCTCGAGACTTTTTCTTCTGCACGGTCAGATTAGGCCTGTGTATCTTGCGCGAAAGATAATCCGTGGATCGCGTTTCCAGGCGGCTCGATCGAGCACGTGCTCGATCGAACGATCTCCGTGATCAGGAGCGTCGTCGCGGAATTCTTACGACTCCTTCCTTTCCCGCGTCGTTTCCACTTAACCCTTTGCGCTCCACGATTTTTCGGCAAAAGAAGGGTACGAGTTGAAAAATTTTCTATTATAAAGCTGATAATACTTTTTCAGCAGTAAATAACAAATCGTATAATAATTAGCACGTAGAATTATTTAATTTCGATACCTAGCACACTGTTACATTATTTCAAATTTGATATATTAATTAATATCGAGCTTCGAAATTTTATTAAATGATGAAAGGCACCTCCTACGAGTGCAAAGGCTTAATACGTCTGATTGTTAAACAAGATTTTTTAAAATTCAAATTTGGGAAAAGTGGTACGTGGAAGAATTAGATTAGGGTGTGGGTGTTTGAAAAATTGCCGAAGAGGATTATTTTGGAAACATAAAGGAATCTTAAGCATGTCAGTCTATGAGTATAGTTGAGATTTATGGTGTATTTTTTGGGGTCGTGATTTTGAGATTCAGTACGAGTAGAACATAATAATGGGTATTAGGTATTGTAATATTGATCGATGTTATAGTTAACCCTTCGCGCTCGACGATTTTTCGGCTAAAGGAGGGTACGAGTTGAAAAATTTTCTATTATAAAGGTGATAATACTTTTTGAGCTGTAAATAACAAATCGTATAATAATTAGCACGTAGAATTATTTAATTTCGATACCTAGCACACTGTTACATTATTTCAAATTTGATATATTAATTAATATCGAGCTTGGAAATTTTATCAAATGACGACTAAAGGGCGCCTCTCGAGTGCAAAGGGTTAAATGGCCACAACTTCACTCCAATTCCTCGAAACGAAAATTTTAATTGATTTCTTATTCTAATGCGAAATCATCGAAACGAAATTTCCTGTATCAGGTGTGGTATTGTGAAATTTTTATGACTCGTTCATTCCCGCGTCAATTTCGTTTAATACTAAACGTAATTAAGCAAGTAAACCTAAATAATCGTTTCTCAAACTTTTATTCAAAATTCCACGTTCAATATCAATATCTTAATCACTCGTTTTCACGATTTTTCTTCTAGCATAATCGTAATCGATTAATATATTTCGTTATTCTTATTTTTCTCTAAATTTTAAATAAATGTTTTTTCATTCGCGAGTCATTTGGTCATGATAGGTTTAGTGTTAAGTGACCACAACTACCATAATTCCTCGAAATAAATGTATAAATTAATTCTTCTCTTTAATAAATTATAGCGGAATGATCGAAATAAAATTTGCACGAATTTAGAAAATTGTAGATAACACTTTTGCAATATGCAGAATGAATAGGTGATAGTAAGAATCGTAATAAATTGAAATTACAAAATTTGCTGCTGGTATGTTTTCGAATAATAATTTTTTTTTTTAATTATTCCAGGGTAGTTGGGTCTCGAGAAAATTATAATACTGAATTTTGAAAATACATTCGAGATTTTTCCGCAAATTTTGTACTAATACATGTCTTTGTAAGTAAAAAATAAAACTAAGGGGAATTTTGAAAATATTTGGAAATCTACGTAAATTACGAAGACTTCTAAAAATTTTATATAACTATTTATTGGAATTCCAAAGTTAGCGTAACTTAAAATAATTCAAAGAGGAGACGTATTTGAGAAATTTCTCACACACCACGTAGCAAATATTCCAATTTCCATTGTTTCTTTTTCGGAAGATGGTATCACGGATATTTATAAATATAGGTATACGACTAACAGAAAATAAAACTCGCGAAGGCAATATTAAACAATATGCTTAATTATTAGCACATAAACGCGCGAAGAAAGCAGGAGTCTCTAATGACTCGAATTATTTGCAAATAATACGTTCTCCGCTATTTATTCACGAATTGTAACAGAATTTCTATACCACTAGCCCAATTAACTATAATAATTAAAAAAAAGAAAAGAAAAAAGGAACCCAAGTGTACCGTTCCATTTATATATGCACGAATATTTTGAAACGAATTTATTCACCTGAAATATATAACATATATGTACAAAATAATATT